AAAAAGAAGCATCAAAACCTCGTTTGCCAAAGCCTCACCCCAAGTGGCAGCCGGGGCTTTCGGGCCGGGCGCGGGGCTGCTGCTGCCGTCCCTCCATCCCTCCCCGAGCAGAGGAAGGCGCTGCGGGCTCTCAGCCCCGGCCGATGCTCAGCTCCTCCCGGGGCCGCTCCTGCTGCCCAAAATCCGGCTGGGACTCGCTTCACCCCCTCTGGCACCCCGAGAGTCCTGGGGGATGCTCAAACCCCCTGGCCGGCCCCAGCCGCGGCGTTTTTCCGCCCCGGCTCACATAACGCACGGCTTGATGTCCTGGTATGTCACTTGTTGGTGGTAATAGGAGCCGCTGCCCGCTGAATGCATGGAGGAGGAGGCCATGGCGTTGAAAGAGAAGACGAATTCTTTTCTGTCGCACATGCTCGGAGACTGCGAGTGATACCGCGGGATGCCTGCGGGACGGTGGGGAGAGATGGTCAGCAGCGCCAAGAGATCCGCCAGGGGAGGGAGAAACAACGCGGGATGGGGTTGGGAAAAAAATAATAAATAAATAAAAGCCCAACGACCCAACCCGCCCGGGTCCGAGCGCGGTTTTGGGGTGTTTGGGCACATCGGGGCTCCGCAGGTGCGGCAGAGAAAGCCCCGCAACGGCGATGCCCTGCCCGGCCTGGGGGCACAGCGAGGAGAAGGGATTTGCGGTGGGTTTAGGGGTTTTTGGTTTGGTTTCAACGTTTCATATTTATTTTGTTGCTTTTCCCATGGGCTCGGCCCGTGCGGAAAATCTGCCGGGTGCGGAGCGGGGCAGCGGGAGGAGGGGGCTGCTCCATGGAAAAGCGCCCCGGGAATTGCGGGTGCCCTGCCCGGGAGCGCCACTTTGGGTGATAATCAGAGCGTTTCGGTGAAGGCCCCGGTGGCTGCTCGGGGCGCATTCCCAGCTCGGTTTTCCAGAAGCTCTGGATGCGCTGAGCTCCGGGAAATGCCCCAGCGTGCCCGGGGTGGGCGCTGCCCCGGCCCGGCCCCCGGGTTCTGCAGCTCCGGTGCTTTTTCCCCCGCTTCGCTTTGTGGTTTTGACCCATTTGTTGGCCGCTTCACAGCCGATTCTGTCAGGCACATCCCGCTCGCCTCCGAAGGCCCGGGGTGATGGTGATGGGCAGGGACCCCCAAATCTGCCCCCAAATCTGCCCTGTGGCCCGCCCGTGGCTCCGGGGTTCCCCCGTGCCACCAGAGCCCCGCAGCC